ATTATAATTTGTGTGTCTAGCAAGATAATTCTTTTTCTATTCTACTTATTTCTTTATGTAACGTTCTTGATCAAGTGGCTTATAATGATTAATCATTCAATTATCGAAAAAGAAAAATCATGGAAAAACTGGAGTCGTATAGATTGATTATAGTGAAACGAATGAAGCGGAACATTATTCACGTTAACGTGAAACAGGTTTTGGGATGTTTATCTGTTTGATACTTGATGCTTAAATTTACAATTCTTCTACAATTTCTTTGCATGCGAAATTACTTTAAAATATAATTTTTTTTAACTTGTATCCTTCGGTGTAAATATTTCCAGAATGAAAGCGTCTCGATCGGGTCGGATCAAAACAGGAAACGATAATTCGCTAATAATGCACGTTGCAGCGTTGTCCTGAAATTGAGGACGCGACTTAAAAATAGTAGTCGGTCCTCTACCCGCCTTCGCCGGCATTAAAATACGGCTCGAACGACGAATATATTTTTTCGTTAAGATGCATTTATCCCACAACAGAACTTTCTTAAAATAATCCTAAAAATACTGCAACGATATTTCCGGCGACAACACTTTGTCATTCCACTTTCCCGAACGGACGGCGTCAAACTCGAAGCTCGCGTTCATCGTGTTACACGAATTCGTCATTAGCACACGTCAAGCTGAATTATCGTCAAACTCTCGTGCCTATGTCACACGTCTAATTATTTCCATAAATGCGATAACCCGCCGCAAGTTTTGCTATGAGCAATTTCTCTGACAAGAAGTACGACTAAAGTTTATTGTGAAACGCCGGGAATTACGCACACGTAATTCGTACTTAACTCGCTAGAAGCGGCCGGTAATTTGCGTTAAACGTATCGATCACTCTTGTCAACACCACATTTCGTTAACCGACTTCCAAGAAGAACGAACCAGTCGGGGCTCGTTCAGAAAGGAAAGTGGCGCTCCTTGAAGCGAGAGTGGAAATGGGAGCAACGAAAAATCAGGAAAAGGTCGCCGATCTATCGGTCTGCTAAGCGTAATTGCGGACAAAGTGTAGATACCCGCCGTTCTCGCCGTTCGTGCAAATAATTGCCTTATCTTCGCTATCCTTCTACACTAGGAACCGCTTGATTACGATTTAGATATTAACCGGGAAATTTCTTGGATATGAAGTAATCCGAGAATTAATTAATAACGTTCGTGTATCGGTCAATCGGTAAACGAGTTGTTGAGTAAATTCCCGCGGCTGAGAAAATTTAAGCGTGGGAAGAGTTACGAGTTGAAAGCTTACAATCAGAGCAGGTACCATTCATTATTCACAGTTACTAAGAGTTACAATTTGGAAATAAAAATAAAAGAGAAAGTCTTTAAATTGCTATAAGAAAGAACTCGGTGATGAAAGAAGCGAAGAGGATCAGTGAGTGAAATGTATAAACGACACTTCGAAGACAATTGAAAGAACTATTCACCCGGTGCACCACAGTGTTGTGCGAAACACCTCCTTCGAAATATGTCGAAGAATTTGTCTAGAACGTGCCACGAAATTCATCAACAAGATAATTAATAGAAGAGGACCGCAGGAAAATGATGCATGGACCGTGAAAGCAAATAAAAATACTCTCCAAAATGGATCAAGCTATCTTCTTGTCTCTATTGATATCACTGACGGTAAGGTTCAAACGTTTTACCTAAGAAATGTTTAATCATAATTTATTGCATGTTAAAATAGTTTTTGGATCGGCTCCAATTCGCTCCGAACTTCAATGCCGAAATCATAGATCATACCAAACTGTTTTTAAAAACATTATTCGTATGTACGGGAAGGGCAACAAGACATGGTGCCTTTGAACTTTTCAAGCCGATTCAAAAGGATTCGCTTTTTTGACATATGTCAGTGATTTTTCTGTAGATATAATTCGTGTAAACTCGTTTGGTTTTGAAATGAAGGAATAAATTATTGGATGATGTGTTAACACGAACGAGTATGGCTTTGGTTGGCAGTAGAAATTATATTCTGACCATTTCTATTTACGATCATTGAATGTGAAATTAAGACATCTTATCGTACGTACTATTTAACGAGATTTTAATTCAATCTGCCTAAAATTTAAATTCAAATATAAAAATTTGTAAATTTCCATGTTTCTTAATAAA